AAATACAAATCTGATTAAAATTTGCATGACAATATTGATTAAGGCAAAGACTTATAAATTAATAGTTAAAGATCCTAAACAAATTTTTTAGAAATTTCTCTGTGCAATGTAAGTCAAAACGTCAAACAAATTGTAAACGCCTTAAATAATAATTAAATTTAATTAATAAATAATCTTAATTTTTTTAAAGATATATAAGTTCAACCTGTGAGTTGATTAACAAAAAAATATTTATTTATTAAGATTATATATTTAAGGATATGGTAACACTAATATATACTTTTAGATCATACAATTTACTGAAGTTTTAAATTTAAAAATGCCTAAAATATTTAATTTAATCTATATCCATCTTATAAAAAAAAAAGTTATTTTCCAATTTTGTGAACTACTTTTAAAATATTTTCTAAAAGTGTAAGTATTATGAATGGCCAAAAGATATTAACGCAGTTAGCAATTTGTCGGTTGAATAATATTACGACCAAGTTATGCCGTTTATTTCGGAGGCATAACTTTAAGTTCTGCTGATGAAGCGACAGCGACAGCTCTAATGAGGGCTTGCTAGTTTGCGACATCAGCAGAGCACCCGTTGCCGCCCCCTCCCTCGTCGGTTTACGATAGCTTTAATTACGCGTATATCCTCGCCCGTCCTCTTCTCCGAATATCCCCGCAATCTGCACGCTTTGCATATATGTATGCAAATGTTTTTGCAACGTCTGGTTGGAAAATTTGCTTTTCGGTTTTCTCTGATAGCTAGGCAAAGATTTTGCAGCGCTGATAAATGTGCGAAAACGTGCACAAGTTTGCAAGGAAAATCCCTGGGGAAAAGAATAATAAAGAGGGTGAGTGGGTGTAACGCAAAAGCCTGCTCTATAATATGCAGATTTTCTGCTCTTTAACTGTTTGTGTATGGGTTAAGTCGAATGTTTTTAGGAGACTTTAAGGTAAAAGCCGCGGAAATTTGCTGATCAAACAATAGTTGATAGTATTTAAGAAGGAGATTAGCTAAAGTCTAGAAATAACTGCTGATAAGTTAAGTGCTTTACTGTGCTCTAACAGACGCAGAAAACTTGTTGGAACTTTGACTTTGTTAGGAATTAGCAGGAAAAACTTGCGATTAAGGTTGAGCAAGTCTTAAAAAGATTTAAATAAAATTGAAGGACAGAAGAGCTATTCACCCTAGCAAGTATTTATGAGAATCTTTCCCTTTATAAATGTATAAAATAAAATAAAAAATTACAAAAATTTCTTGAATTATTTTAAATGACATTAATGATCTTGAACCCGGTCAACATTTAAATGTTTTTAACAAATATAGGCGGGATTTGGCAAACGTGACATAAAATGTAATCGAGGTCGTTCGCTTTAAATTAAAAAGTTGAAATTCCAACTTGATTTGAGGTTTGTGTTTTTTGGTTTTCTTTCCAAAGTGTGTAGTTTTAAGAATATAATGTGGATTTTTCTTAGTGCACCTGCTGAGCTAAGCTAAAACCCATGAAAAGTGTGCAGGAAATGTGTAAAAACTTCCACAGCTAAAAAGTGAATTTTAAGTATCACTTACTAAGCCTGATATAATAAGCGGATTTGGTAAAAAGTCCCATATACCACAGCCACACGACTATAAGCCCTGGCTTTAAGTTGCTGACCCTTTGCTGCATTATGTGCAACCTGCGCAGGTTTGCTTTGGATATGATGAATTCCATTTGCATAAATACCGCGTTGTTTTCGTTTGCCGGACCATCGGGCTTTATGCATGCATGTCTGTGTTCATTTGCACACTGCCAAACAGAGATGCACAAATAAAGCCGGTTCCAAAGCCTGAATCATGGCACTCGTGTATTTAATCAAATATCAATTGATCGCACATCGGCCCCTTTAAAAACCATTGTTTACCGGGAGAGAAATTTTCTGTTTACCTACAATCGCGGTTAATCATCAATGTTTTTTATTATTAAGAAACGAGTATTTTAATAAAATACATTAATAATAAATATGTTTTAAAATTACATATCCAAAATATTTAATACAAATCTCAAAGAATTGAAAATGTCTAAATATTGGATTCAATTAAATCTTTTTTAATTTAGAATGATAAACAAAGTCATCCTTTTTTATTGGTAATTGAAGTTTAGTTTTGTATTATTTTAACATTATAACATTTCATACAAAACTATTCTTGTTATTTAAAACTTTATAGCGAAACAATTTGTGAAAACTTTTGAAATTGAAAAATAATTGTATAATTGGTTTGAATTATATTCTCCCAATTTTTCAAGAACAATAGCGAAGCTAACTATTATTTCAACTGTCACTGTTCTGCATATAAGTACATATATTTGTGTGTGTGCCACGCCCCAGGAAACAGGAATGTAGCAAAACAAATGGCAACACAATGCAAAAAAGCCAAAATTCGAGAGCAAGCCAAAAATCCCATTGAAAAGGAAATGTCCGGGAGAGACAGCTGGAGGGGGAGGAAATGGAAGGGGAGTTGTAACAACACACGTTCTGTGTCTATGTCTTTTTGTGTGCGAGTGAGTAAGTGTGTAGTGTGCGGCAGACCAAATGGCGCCAATAAAAGTTTTTGTTCCCTACAAAAACCCAAAAAATTGGGCAGAGGTCTCCCCAAAAAATGGCACAAATCCCCTGGACTTTATTTATTTTTTCGAACGCCCATTGATTTAAAGTGCAGAGAAAAAATTGGAGCGTGATATGGTGACACCATGACACGTTAAGATGCCAAGATCCCGAATCCGGGTCAAGAAGTTTCCTAAACATTTGAGCTTGACAATCAATGTTGTCGCCTCTCTTATCATTTCTGTTACTTTTTCTATTTGCTTTAATCAGCTAACACAAAGAGCTAAAAAAAACAAATGCAAATTGAGACAGACACTCGTACGTACAAAAAGTCGAGCAAATAACCTGCAAAAAAGTAAATAATCCCGGTACAAAATATATCCCCCTTTTTTTTCCCCCACCAACATCGCTTTTGTTTGGCCCGCTCTCTTCACAAATAAAAAAGCTTAAAAGCCGTCCGCTCTTGCCGACTCTTGAACTGAGCAAATAACGGCGTATTTAATCATTTCGTATGCAAATCGAGTTTGTCATAAAAGAAATAGTAGAATACATGCCGGTTAAAGGCGCCTCTCAGTTACAGTGGAACGTCTGTCACACAAACTTTTATCGTGGTAGAAAAAATTGATAATAATCATAATGTTTCTGATGAACCAAAACTCATTTTTTAAGAGATATTTATTGTTTATTAAACCATTTAGAATATTCCTGATATTCATATTTTAAAAAAATATTTAAAAATTTAATACCACGTTTTCATTAATATTCCAATTGTTATATACAAAGTTATATTTTTTAAAAATATGTATGAAGTTATTTTTAATTTAAGAATTTTGTATATTATGAATGAAGTATTAACATAAAAGCTCCAAATATAATTGGAAATTTTTGAGATATTAAAGTATTTTAAATACTTTTAAAAATGGTTTGTACTCGGAATATATGTGTATTTAAAACTATCTCTACATCTTACATTTCATAATTATTAGAGTGTTTTTCAAACGTTCTTAGAGGAATTTTACTGTGTTTTGAATGTACTTTCATCTCAGTAGCTTTTGTTGACTCACTTGGCTTAGTTTGAAATGAAACTGATAAGCAGAGATGTGTTTTTGTTATTGTAGGACAATTAAAATCAGTCCCGGCATCATTGAAGTGAATCATCTTATAAAAATTAATTAAATCAGTGACCTACAGTTTTATGGGCATTAGGATGCCATAGCGAGTGCTAATTGTTCAATACTTCTCTCTCTCAAAAAAATGACCACAATCACTCATCTATGAACACACCTCCCCCTTTACCGACCCGCCCCCTTCTATCATGTCATGTGATGATAAACATTTCTGACAGCTGTTTTTGTTGTTATTGCTTTGGCCTTTTTTCGCGCAGGTGCAAAAGCAACAACAACAAGAAACGGAGCTTGTAACTTATTCACCGGGAGAGAGAAAAGGAAAGAGCGTAGGAGAGTAAAAGATGGAGAGAGTAAACTCCAAATGAAGTTTGCACCGCCAAAAGGGGAGAGAGAAAGAGCTTGGATGAGAGCCATATGTATGCCAAGTAGATATGTAGGCATATATTGTATTTTCGGACTGGTTCTTTGCATAAATTTTAATAATTTTGAAACACAAAATGTGCCTACACATAAGAATATGGACAACGAACGCATGTTGGGTGTTTCTATATAACTATGTATGTGAGTATTCTGAATTATATCTGTGTTCAGACAGTTGTAGTCAGATTTATAGGACTTACTAACTTAAACGAATTCCTTCAGATAATTTTTAAACCACCTACAAAATATTTGTATAAAATATATTTATAAAAAACAATTGTTTATTTTTAGGATAAATTTCCCCGGCATGAGACCCTAATCTATCTTTGACCTAGTAAGATATTTTAGGTCTTATTATATTAACGTTTTAATATATATTTTTCTCAAATACAATTTGAAAAAGATGGTAAGCTATAGGGCTTCACATCTCACGACTTGAATGGGTTTATATCTTTATTTTAAAATGTATTGTAATACTAACATTCACAATTTAACAATGTTTACTTTTTAACCTTTTTCCTATCTTAACTTTTAAATTAGTAACTATCTTATCTATATAAAAGTTTTAACTACCAACTACATGAAACTTCTTACATTGAAATCAAAAACGGTCCTACACACTTTTTATTAATTATGAGGTAATAAACTTTTCGTTCAAATTTTCTGTGATTCACCTGCTTAGAGGTATTGTTTTAACCGCTGCTGTAAGCACGCGCTTGTTCACAAACATAAAACAAGTGCGTGTATTTTTATAGATCCGATACGGCGGCGACAGCTGCTCCCCTGGAGCGCGACTTCCCCAGATAGTATTCGAAAGTATCCCTATACTATATATGTATGTATGTAGGTACTTTGTGCATGCATATGTTTAGTACTTACCAGGGCAAAGGTCGTGACGGGGGCCAAGCGAAGGGCGAGACTTCGATGGGTGGTCGAGGGGCGCAGGAACAGCTTGAAGGCGCTGACCATGGCAGCCCTATTTCTGGACATGATTCTCGGAGTTAACTGGAACTGGTTCTACAGCTGGACGCACACAGCACACCGAATACTCTCTTCTTTATTCTTTTCGAAGGTCGTGAATCACAAAAACACCGGTTATAGAGGGTAAATAATGAGTAATGTTGAAACTCTGGAACTTGTGGCTTTTGATACAAAATAAACTCAAAATATAAATAACACTGGGAGGCTTTTCACGATTTTTCACTCAGAATCAAATTTGGAAATTTTTTGGACGATCCGATAATTTTTTATTCGCACCGAAAACTTCAGCGATGCCTCTTTCATTCTTGTGGATTTTAAAGGCACCGTTAGAGTTTTCCGAAACTGACAAACTCGACCAAATAGAGCTCACGATAAATAATCAAAATAGACCAACATAATTTTTTGTCACTTAACATTTTAATATGATTTATGATTATTTTTGATTGCTTAAACAAACGTAAGTTGTGAAACGGAAAATGCAACAAGCCGCAAATAACAATAAAAACAACAAAGAACGGCGCCAAAAAGAAAGATGGGGATATTTTGCAGAGATGGGGGAAAGAGAAATTACCGGTTTTATTAGCGAATTTTCTTTAGCTTTTCATACGCGGCACATGGGATAAACCCAGACGATTAGCACTCGGAATAGAAATATATATGGAAAGATATATATTCTGGCAATTTTTAATTGGCCAGGCGGCGTTTTAGTGGGCTTTTCGCTCTCTCTTTTTCTCTTTGCACTCTCTTTGCCCCAAACTATTTTTTTATTATAAGCCGGCTATAAGAACACGCGATTTTACTATTATTTTCTTTTTGCAACTATGTACTTTCTTATTTTCAAGTACCTGTTAGCACGTGCTATTTTTATCGTGCTACAGCTATCTAGTTAAATATTAAATAAATAAAAAGTGGTTACGATTCAAATCCGACGCGCCAAGCATATATACCGTTGTATTTTTTAAATAAATATATATATATTTTTATAAATATATTTTAAGAATGAAGTATTTGAATTTCAATATTTAAAGTTATCAACAAAATTAAAAAACATTGACACCCAACAACCGACACGAGCGAAAGACAAAAATGAACTAACGCCGCTATAATATACCGCCCGGATCATAAATACCTAAATAATACTTCTTGATAAACAACAACAGTAAAAATAATAATATTAAAATATACCATCAAAAATACTATAAAAAGGTTTATGTATTTGCTAATTATATAGCGGCAACTTAAACCGTACCATGATGTACTTACAACGTTTCGGCAAGTCCGTGAAGATTTAAATAAGTCGCGGTAAATTGAGAAATGTTATCAAAAAACATTGTTGTCGTTCATACGGAACGATCGTCCCATCGGCAAAATGATCAGTGCAAACAAAAAAAAATGATTTGGAAAGCGTTATATTTAAAGCTATTAAACTAAGCAAATGAATTGCATTTAAATATACGCCGTATGGTACTACGAAAAATATGTTACAGCTATCGGATAAAGACAATTAGCGTTTTCAAACTTGATCAAGAATATAAATACTTAATATAGTCTGAAATGTATCCTTTCCTGAGTTACAAATTGTGGGCAAAATTATAAATTCTGCAAGGTTATATTCAACCTATTCTTCGGATACTAACTTTTTTTTTTACATTCCTAGATTTTTAATTTAATATAGGCCAGGGGAAAATGTGCGACATGGGCCGCTCGCTGAAGCAGTTATTAAATTTTCTTAATTTAAAAATCAAGTGAGTGTACTAAAGTTTTAGTTCAGATCTAAGTAGTCGATAGTTTTGCAAATGACATGGCGAGTTATCGGCTTTTGACACCGTTGTCCCCGTGCGTCTCCGCTTTTAGTCCGTTGCTAAAAAGGGTGTCTCGGCTTTTAGTCCGTTGCTAAAAAAGGTGTCTCGGCTTTTAGTTCGTTGCTAAAAAAGGTGTCTCGGGCTTTAGTTCGCTTCTAAAAATCGGTGCCCTTGCTTTAGTTCCAAGCTATAAGTGTCCTCGCTTAATTTTTTGGTCTAAAGTTGAATTGAAAATTTAACTTTTTAAAAAACTTAATACAATCCGAAGTATAATAAATTTCAGATTATAATTAATTTTTTAATCAATAAACGGATTTAACATTTCTTAATAAGACAAGTCAACAATGATTAAATTAAATATATTACGTGGCATAAAAACCTTTTAAAAAGTATTAAGTGGCTGAAAACCAAAAAAACCTACAAAATTGTTGATCCAATTTCTAAACCATTTTTTTTTAAATCTTTGCTTTTACATTACATTTTATTATGTTCTTAAATTAAATTAATTATTATTGTAGAACTATACAACGAAAATAATTAAAAAATGTTTTCATAAATATAAATCAGTTAAAGAGATTTTTTTAATAAAAAAAAATCTTATTTATCTCAAAATATTTTGCTGGCCCAATGTGTGGCTTGAACAGATTTTTGAACTTAGCTTAACTTATTTTTGCCCAAATGTTTTGCTGGCCCATTGTGCGGTTTCAAACATTTTTGAACTTAACTCAATATCATTTTCCGATAGAGCTAAGTAACCAAGAAGAGAAACAACATATATTTTACACTTGCAATAATTTTCGCTTTTATTATTGTCGCATTACCAATCTAAACTTGAACTAGTTCTCATACATTTACGCATATATCCAACTATACAATAGAGCTTTGCTTAGTGCTGCGTTAAAAATACAACTAGAGTTTTACAGTTTTACATCGAGGCCTGTGACAAGCGCATTTTAAGTCTACTCACTAGGCTTAGGCTAAAAACATCTATAATACACTTAGGGGATAGAGGCAGCCTTATGCTTAACGTACTATTCCGATATACATATGTGTTTTGTATAGCACTCGTTAACTGCTGGAACGAACTTACACTTTTGGCATGGATTTAAAATGCTTAAAGTACACAGGAGTTTTCGCAGCTGCCATGTGGGTAGTAGTAGTTATGTGTTCTAGAGTTGTCAAAAGTTATTTGATCAAGTCTTTAGGATGCGGAGAGCTGAATCGGTGTCTGAGGTAATAACGAAAGTGCTGGATTATGCGTAAACTTAATTAGGCGCTTAATTCGCTATTATCAACTAATAAACATTAAACAACTAACAAAGCGCATTTATGCATTTATTCATGATGCCTCATGATATTATTTATGATAATTTATAATGCGCAAGCATCCACACACACGCCTATTTACACAACGTTCGCAGATAAACACACAGATACGCACTCATACACTGTACAACTTCAGCTGACAACTGCAGTTCCATTAATTAGCTGCAATAGCAACAAACAAAAAAGATTTATGCATGTTAAAAGCGACTAATTATGTTATTTTTTCCTTCTTAATTTATCTTTTTTCTACAGCAGCTGTTTTTAAGCTGTTTGTGAGCAGGGCCTTTTTTGCTATCCACTTTAGGCAAGAGCTTGCGAAACTGCTCTCCAATTAATTTTGGTTTTAAAAACGTGATTTAATTAATTCAAATAGGGAAAGGAAGTTTAAATTGCCTTAATAATTGTAAATTTAAATGATTTTTAAAAATGAAATCGACATGAGTTCAAGACATATTGACAAATTTAGAAATCAAAAATATTTTACTTTCACAATTAAACATTTTGCAATAATTAAACAATATGATCTCATATATTCAGTGCATTTTTATATTAAATTAGGCAAAATCAGACGTTAGATATATGACTCATAAAACATGCATTCGCAAAAGCTCGCCGAAAGTGAAAATTAGAACAGGTCTGATAGTTTTTCCTTTGAATTTCCGCCTCATTTTCGTCCTGTCAGTTGTGACGTCGTCGGTGCTGAGCGCTTTCAACATTTTCGGCCGCCAGATGCAGCCAATGCAACTGTTTCCTGAGTTTTGCCCGCAATTTGCGATACTTAATGCCTCCTATGCCGCCGCCAGCTCCTCCGAACAGCTGCTATCACGTGCCCGTGGACAGGTCGTCTTTGAGCCACTGCGGTATTGGCCGCGAGCCGAGCTTTTTGAGCAACTTCACCAGCGCCGTATTGTGATTCAGATAGTATCTGCAAGCGAACAAAAACAGAGAAATATTCCATCAGAAATGTGGTGCAATTAGAATTTCAAATCGCTCGGGTTTTGTCCCAAAGTCAGAACAAATATGCAGATCGACAGGGACTTATCTTCGCAGCCACTCTTTGTTAGCTAAGTTTTTGAATATTTTATTTCAGCTTCCTATCTTTTGAATTTTTTTGTGAACCATTTGAATTACTCAGAGCTCAAAAGAAGATTTGTGTGCGGGAATTTCGGCAAGTTGGTCTTGCCTTTGTAAAATGAAACAGAGGAAGATTGGCTTTTAAGCTGATCATCTAACTTAATAAAGATTGCATACTTTTATAATAACACCTCAATTTTATATAAAGGTTTTCTATGGTTAAGATATCTAAAAAAAACTCTATATATAAATATCTGCTTTTCATAAATAATATTTTTGAAATAAAATTATTTGGTTTTAAGCATTTTTCCAATGTCAATTATAAATTTTATATTAATAACTTATTAAAAGCTTTATAATAAAAAATAATGATGCTATTTTAATTAAGGAAATAAATCCAATCTCTATTCGTTATTTCCAAAATAAACTTCCTACTTTACAATTCCCATTCTACTAAACCCACATCCTGACATATTCTCGGGCTAACGTTTCACCCCATCATCATGAAATCTCGCCAGGAAACGAATTTCCTCAGCTTACAGGAACTTTTATTTGGCCAACTCCCCTGATATATTTTCCATTTACTCCAGTTGAATGCCTCACAAAGTAGTCCATCTGTCCATCTCCGTTTCCGTTTATTTTCCGTGTGGTTGTTGGCCTAGAAAAATTCCAACCAGCAAATCGTTTCCCTTGTCAACTGACAACAGCTGGCATACCAACGAAATCGCAGTACAGCAAAGTGCACTTTTAGCGGCCGCAAAGTGGCACATACCCTTCACACCAACAACAAAAAAAAGAAGAAAAAAAACCAAAAAGCGAGGAGTTTTGTCCCCACACCCATGCCCACATATGTTCATTAATCCTTCACTCAAAGCAGCTGCCTGGGTGCCGCTCCTTCGTCCTGTCTGTCCCAAATCACTCACACCACGCCCACGAGGACTGATGGCTCGAACTTTTCATGATTTTCCCACCTTGCCGGTTTTGGTTTGGTCCCTCTCTCTTTTTTTTTTTGAGTACGAATTTCGATTTTACTCACCGCTGCAACAGCTTGGCACTGCGCTCATCCATCGTCGGATACTGACGGCCCTTGGACTTTCCGAGGCATTTATTGCGCTTCTCGCTGACGGCCTGGCAGTAGAAGCCCTTCTTCACGTCGTATCGCAGGTGATTTGAATAATCGAGCAGCGGCTGGATTTTCAGGAAGCGCTGCAGCTCGTTCATCACATCGATGGGGTTCAGGCGCAACTGCTCGCCGTCGATGATGTGCAGCTGCTGGGCGGGATAGTAGGCCAGCCAGTGCTCCAAGTGCTGGGCGTACTTGCCGGGATTTAGGCAACGGTTGCGCAGATCCTTCAGCGCCCTCGGTGCCGAGTCACTTGCCGTTATGACCTGTTCAAGTGGTGCGGGGAGAAAACAAGGGAAATGGCGTTGAATCAGTGTTATTTTACGAATTTTCTCATATGCACCAAAAGAAATTGGACTATTTTCTAAGATAACAAAAATATTGACTCAAAAAACATGATGGGATAAGGATATAATTCTCTTAACGCACTTTAAAATCACTAAAGGAATTTTGAAACATTTTTTAAATTTACAAATAGTATTATAAACATCTTTAGGTACATCTTTTTAGTTTTTCCCTAGAAACTTAAGTCCACTTAGGCCAATATCTATTACTAATGAAGGATTTAATATTTAAATCAGTAGTTTTTTTAATGATATTTTTTTCTGCATCGAATAGTTAGTAAACTAACTCATTGTATGCTTATTTATTTTGTCGGAATACTTCGTGAATTCTTAATTCAAAGTGTATAATAAGTGGTGGAAGAGGCAGGGAGTGGCGAACGGGTTTTGAATGGCTATGCCTGGACCTGGACACATGTCAGAGCAAGCTGTCGGACTATTCTGAGGCATTTGTACATGTGTTAGTTGTGGGACAAGACCGGGTGCAAAGACATTTTCCGGCATGGAATTCAAATGAAATGTGCCAAACAATCAACGGAAGAAGCTGCAGGATGTGAGGCACCTACTTGCCACAATGGAGCAGCAGGTCCCACAAGTTGTTCGAATTAAAACAGGATTTTCCTACATTTAATTTGTTTTTGTTTGGTTTTTCTCGATTATCTTTTGAGGTGAACCCAAATGAATTTTCCTATTTGCTCAAATGTTTCTTTTCATTCTCCCCCACATTGGGAGATAAGAAATTGCAATTTGGGGAATTTGTATTTGCTCGAGTTGATATCGATTCAATCTAGGGGGCAGCATTCCTAATTCACAGTAGGCGATGAGGCGAGTTAATTATAGTTTTGAATGGAGTTGACTTGAAGCTTTGCAGAAAATTGCGTTTCTGATTTTATTTTGAAATACTTTTAGCTTAGTCTTTGGTGAAAATTCAGAGCCTAGATTTATGAATTAGTTCTCTTGACATTTTCTTACGTCCATAAATATTAAATAAAGTTAAAAGTGACCTACCTGATAGAAACTGTAGTTATTGGCTATAACATCTCCGTGGGATCGTTGATGTTGGTACCAGGAGTAGGCCCTCTTTGCCGGAGATATCAGAATCGTCACAATCTTGGCATGAGGAAGCAGGGCGTGAGTTCTCTTTGGCACAGCCTCGCCATCGAAATAAGTAGCACTCTTTTCGAACATAAAGCGTGGCGATCCCAGTTGCGTGGGCATCGGAGAACTCGAATTCGGCATCGTTTCCGAGGGGAAGAAGTCCATGTACCAGTCCAGTCCCCGATAGTAATTATTCCCATTGAAGAACTGCACTTCCTCGAAGGTTTCCGGACTGGCGATATTACTCGCAATACTGCCGTGCATGGATAGGAATGTATACAAAGCAGTAGTGCCCGTTTTCTGCGGACCAATGACCAGAAACTTTGGCAGCGATTCGCAGTTCTTGGTCTTCGACCAGATCTTCTTGTGCCGCACATCGTCACAGGGATTACCCCACACGGGATCCACCTCCTCGGGATGCAGCCGGAAGTACATCTCGGCCAGCTGAACGGGTGGAGCCGAGGCCAACTTGATATTGGTCCAGCATTGCAGGAACTTGATCACCGATTGGAATGTGTACAGGGCCAGACGATCCGATCCGTAGTTGGACATGTGCGTCATGAAGATGTTGATGGGGTTATACACTATAGTCTGGAAGAGTTCACCGCCCTGTATAGACTCATCCAGTTTATCTCTACCACCCGGATAGCGATCAATGTACATGGTGTGTGTGAATAAGCCACACGTTTGCCTCGGCAACACCATTATATTGCGATGAATGAATCCTCTTCTCAAACGAGCGGGTCTCAAGTGAGGATACTCTTCCGTGGACGTAACCTTCACGTTCCACACTTTCTTCCATGCTAAATACAGTAACTCATGGGCGGGATACACACCCGAATGATGTGGTGATATGGAGTAACCCGAATCCGTGGGTATATTGTGATCCACGGCAAAGGCGTAGTTTAAGTGCATTTCTGCCATCAGGAGGGTTAGGTTCTCATACAAATGCGGCTGCTGATGCTTCCACATGTGCGAGAACCAGTTGAACTCTTGCACGTTCTGGAGAAGGAAATCATCTCCCAGGTTTTCCTCCCTCGTGCCATGATGGTAGTACTTTCCTGAGAATCCCAGATTAAACCGGAAGCCAGGAACCATGGCTGCTATATTTTTCTGTGTGGCTATTAGTGCTCTAACATCATCTGGTCGCAGCCTTGTGCCCTTTTCTCCCACGAATATATCATCTATATCCACGAGAATCATGCGCTCCAGATTCAGACTTAGTTGACCATGACTTAGATAGCTCAGAGCATCCAGGAAGACCAAGCGATGAAGCCAAAACCGCAAACTGCTGCCGAAGAGCACTCTTTGTATTCCATCGAACTGTCCTCGATCTTGGAGAACAGTAGTTAAGGGAAGCTGCACCTGACCCACACTATCCGCTGGATATTCTTGGGTGTTTCGTTGCGCCCACTCCACTGGCTCATACGTACTGTGATTGTGCTGGAAAACAGCCCAATCATCTCCAGGTAAAGCCCCCCAAGCCGTTTCACCTGCCCGAGTTAATCGAAGCACTGATGACGAAGGATTCAAGCTGGCATCCCTCAGTCTCAAATTCGTGTTCACAAACAGAGGAAAGTCACGGAGCTGTGCGCCCACTAAGGTTTCCTCGCTGGGACTGACAAAACCAACAATTCCCACTGAATACTCCCGGCAATATTTGTCCAGCAGCTCCCGATTCCACTTGTCCATATTGAGGTACTTGTCTAGGTTCTCAAATACAATCACTCCATAGCGGCCTTTATCCAGATTTGTGAGAACCGGTAGGCTCTTGCCCGCCACCTCGATTTTGTATCTGCAAAGTAAAGAAAATATTTATTGTTTAAGTTTTGCATGATATAGATTCGATGAAGAAACTCTAGAATGATTTAACTATAAATTATTCATCCCAAAGGAGAAAAGCTTAATAATAAAAACTTTGCAACACAGAAACATAAGTTTAAAAAACTTTCAACCCAAACATATTCTTCAGAGTTTCAGCTTACACATTATTGAATAAGAAATTGTATACGGGAAATATATATATATGTTGCTTAAACTCGATATACTCAAGTATTTTTTCTAACCCGGACGGGATTATTGCAACAAATGCCATATCACAATCAGTAAAATATCTATGTGCCATAACTGTCAAACCAGAAACAACATGGCGTTAGGAGGAGAAAGCACAGATGGAGAAAGAAAGAAAGTGCTTGTCAAATGTGACGTTCATTGAGGGTGTGGGTGAATGAGACAAACGGAATCCTTCTTGGATTCGGGAATAGAAGTGCAGCGAGAGCTGCATTTGACAGCTGAATGTCAAAAGCGGTTGGCTATGACAAGCCGTAGAGCATGGGTAACACATACCAACATTGCACTCGCAATTGCGATTCCAATCCGAAACGTGAGTTGCATCTGATAAGCTGGTGTTTGTTTTAACTGCGTTGATAAGCTTAGATTGCTCTGTCAAGAAAAACTATGGCATAAATCTCAGGCCTCGCTTTATGTGCTTCATTTTCATTTGTTACGTCTATAATTTATTTACCTACGACATTAATATTCATTTTCATTTACATATCCAGCTAGTACAGAAAACACAGCCAATGCCATAATTACATTGAACACGGTTGCATAAATATGCAACGGCACTATGAATAAAATCATATTCAATAATATTATTTTCGCAGGGTAAACCTGCTAAACGCCGGCGTATAATATCCTCACTACTACTACTACTACTACATCGCACTACTCCCTTCGCCTGTGCGTAAATATTTTGCATAAATATTAAAATATTTTCACTGATATGGAATTTCCAATTGATTGAATTTCAGTCTGTCTCTGTGCATTTCTCTTTGGGTGGAGAATGCATATGCATGCGGACCAAATGTCGGTTTTGGTTTTGCGTATATCCTGCATACACTGCCAACCAGCATCCTGGATCCTGCATCCACCACATCCTGTTAGCTGGCCATTTAGTGGATTTTAAAGCTAAACAAACCAAGCTCGTGACCGAGGCCAAAAACCAAAAACTCAATGCTGTCCACTTTATTCAATATGCCAAGCGGTGTTTCCACCATTTAAGGGGCCAGGCCAGCACACGTAAAAACCGAAACGGTACGTAAAAAAAACCCAATGGAGCAGCCATTGTAAACATTTTTATTTCTTTATTTTTTAACTCGCCACATTCGCCGGAGCATATTAAAAATATTTGCAACTGCCCCCGCAACCGCTCGGCTGCATATAAAAGTCATAAAGCAAAACAGTTTATATATGTCTGAATGTGGTGCTCCACTGGGCCGAAACTGCTCCCCGTATATTGTAGATATATAATACATTTGTATATATATTGTGGGCTGCGAGCTTGCTCGTGGGTGTGGCATATTATTGATAGTTTTGTGCGATGGGCCTGACAAAAAACGAAATGACTTTTGGCCTGCGCCCCGCTCGACCCGCTGAGTTATGGGAGTTGGAAAATAAAATCAGGTGGGGCAGGCTGGTGGGGCAGGCTGGTGGGGCAAGCTGGTGGTGCTCGCTGGGTGGTTGGGTGGTGGGGCGGTTAAAACGCTGACACACTGCATGCATTGCATATTTTATAGCGCGTCAACACGAGACCATGTGTCACACGGCATGGGGTCTCCATTCTGGAGTGAAGGGCGGGATTCTGCAGCAAGCCCATCAAAGTGGTCATTTATGTCCCGCCCGGATATTGAAAAATCGCACGCCCAGCGACAGCTCGTGGACGACATACGTATAAAAGAATGGAAACATAAGGAGGTAAATTAAATTGTAGGATTTTGGGTCGAAGGGGAGATGACCTAGAGGCTGTCAGTTCGAAAAACAAATTAACCTTTTAACCTTTTACAAAATTTGAAGAGACGGCATTTAAATTATCAAAATTCTGGACTCAATAATTATATTTCAAAAAGTAATTATTTTACAATCATTTTGTCAAAATTATAAAGTTTTAAGAATGGAAAATAAGGTTTCAAAATATTTAATTTCAGAGAAAAAATGTATTTAAAAATAAAAGCGACAGAAATAATAATTGAAATTATCACAAAAATGTTTAATTATAAGAAATTTGAAAATCACTTAAGAAGGATTTGACAGTTATATTTAAAAAAAAGAAAAATAAAAAAATAAAAAAAAAAAAAATCAAAAAAAAATTAATTTTTAAAAAAAAAAAAAAAAAAAAAAAAAAAAAAAAAAAAAAAAAAAAAAACCCCCCAAGAAAAAAAAAAAAAAAAAAAAAAAAAAAAAAAAAAAAAAAAAAAAAAAAAAAAAAAAAAAAAAAAAAAAAAAAAAAAAAAAAAAAAAAAAAAAAAAAAAAAAAAAAAAAAAAAAAAAAAAAAAAAAAAAAAAAAAAAAAAAAAAAAAAAAAAAAAAAAAAAAAAAAAATAAAAAAAAAAAAAAAAAAAAAAAAAAAAAAAAAAAAAAAAAAAAAAAAAAAAAAAAAAAAAAAAAAAAAAAAAAAAAAAAAAAAAAAAAAAAAAAAAAAAAAAAAAAAAAAAAATATTTTAAAATTTAAAACGTGATACTATAAATTTTAAAACGCTAGGATCTCTATCCGGCCGTTCCGACTTATATACTGCGTGCAAAGGAAAGAAGGGTGTGTGCAAAGTTTCAATTCGATAGCTTTAAAACTGAGAGACTAGTTTGCGTAGAAACAGACAGACGGACAGACGGACAGACAGACGGACAGACGGACATGGCTATATCAACTCAGGAGGTGATCCTGATCAAGAATATATATACTTTATAGGGTCGGAGATGTCTCCTTCACTGCGTTGCACACTTTTGACCAAAATTATAATACCCTCTGCAAGGGTATAATAAAATCCCAATGGTATTTGTATATTTCTGAATATTTTCTTGTTTGAACTAAATTCTTGTTACTGACCGATTTGTTTTCTTAAATTTATATTTTTTGGTTTTATGCCCACTGCCAAAGATAACAGCAAACCCGCCGAGAAGCCCAAAACGACCCACATCAAATGACACAAACGAGCCGCACAGGCATGAAAAGAATTTTCATTGCATACTTTTCAGGTGTTCGAGGGATGTTGGGGGAGATTAAATGCCAACTTCTGCTAGGTTATTCGAGTCCTGTAAGAGCATTAATTAAAGCGTTTTATCTGCACAAAATGTTTGTTTAATTAACTATATAATGACACTTTCCCTTGTGCGAGTGTGTGGATATTTGAAATTTAATTGCCAGAAGGAAAGAGAGGAGTTCATTTACAGGCCCGCAGCGGATTTGTTTTAAAAACCCATTACCGGGTATTACTTGCAAGTAAATAAATGTTTTTTTTTCCACCCAGCAATACGTATGTGCTGTGGAGGTGTTAGAGGACTTGCGCTCATTTGTTTGCATTTGTATGGGGTGTTAAATTATCCTCGGGATAAACGTAAAAGTGCAAATGCCGGCGTGCGCGCAACCAGAGAGCTTGTTTTTCCTTTTGGCCCTGTTCTTCTCCTTGTCTCCGTTTCCGGTTCGTAGGTGTTCCCTGTTTGTCTGTCTGTCTGGTGTATGTGACTGTATGTGTGCGGGTGTTTGGCTGCGTTTGTTGGCCTTGTCGCGCTTGTCGCTTATGCAACGCAGCTTAGTTTTAGTTGACTTCCCACTGCCACTTTGGCTTACAGGGTCTTGTGTCGACTCCGCTCGAGCAGCTGAAGCATTCCGCTCAACCAATGCCCCCGCAGCCCATATTCCGTGTTGTAATTTCATTAGAGCGCCCTGGGGCTGCCGGCTTCATCTTGGCTTTACATCTCTCTCGGCCTTGTTGATGTTTTGCTCAGGAAATTAAGCTGTAGGGCGAATCGCAAATAGAGATTTCGCCACGGGCTACGAAATCCTTGCAAAAACAAGAATACATTTTCAATGCGAATTTATTTAATTCGAACAAGAAAAGGAACTCGAGCATAACTAGATATTATCATTTAATGTAATTTTCTTATGAAATTATCAGTTAAAATTAATACATATATCGTAAGTAGAATAATTAAATTTCATTATTAAAATAGTTCCTTAAACTGATTATGAACATCATTTCCATTTAAATTGAATATTGTTTTCTAGCATCCCCAAAAATTATATTATATTATCAATAAAAATATTTTTCTCAATGTACAAAAGGAAACATGTAAGCTGGATATCAACATAGATAGTCACCTCCTTTAATAGAGCAATCCACAGCATTTATTTGCCCATGGCCAGCTCCCATTTAAAGCCGTGTGCCGACTGGTTTTTGTGGCTAGTCAGGTGATTTGATCCCTGCCATAAGAACACATCAGTCGTATGTACGGTCCAACCGACAGATGGCCCCAAAAAGTGGGCGCAATGGCAAAAGTTGCGCCGTGAGGCAAAGTTTCAGCTTATTAGCTGTGAGTAATGATGCAATTAGCACGGCAGAGGCCATGGACTACCTGATTACTTGATTAGATGTGCTGTGCTGTGGAGACACGTGGGCCAATTAGTTGCCAGGTGAGTGGGAGGCGATTGATTTCTATCACTCGGATAAGGCAGCCGGAAATGGGAAATTTGTAACCTTCTCAGTATATTTACAATCGATACTGCCATAAAGTATTTGAGGGTATTTTGTTTGCTTTAAGATTAACTTATGAACATAGAATTGACTTAAAACAATGCCTTAAGTAATAATTTTGAATTGACCCTATAAAAAGTTTGTTTATTTGTAGGTTTGGCTCTCTTTAAAACTTTTAAATTGGTTCTGGTTTTTATATAATGACTACACTATTGAATAATATTTTTGTGTAAAAATACCCCGACAATTAAATATATTTTTGCTTTTA